GTGACACAAGCTTGCAGAGGTAAGTAGGAATGACAAAAAGCAAGGAAAGGTTCTTTTGCCCTAGACAGGGAAGGAAGCTTCAGACTGAGGGCTGGAGAACAGCAATTTAGGTCATGGAAGGAGGCAGGTTACATGAAGATGGGCAGGAGGGGGGGGGGGCGTACTTCCTTTCCGCTCCCTTACAAGTGTCACTCACTCCCTAACAGGTAAAGGAGCCAGGCTTGCTTTCACAGACACCCAAGGTTAGTGGGTACCTGTGCAGGATGTGGGTTCCCGCCCCCCCACCCCGTCCAGCTTCCCCATTTCAGCCCTTCTCCATTAGCTGCCACGTCTTCCTCCTGGGGACCCTGAAATCAAATGTTCACCAGCTAAAAACATGGGGCAACTGTAATGTCATAGTCACATTGAATGGCCCATCTCTGGCAAGCCAACTCCCGTGGGCCAGGACTTTACAAAGGCAAAGGGAAACCAGCCTCAAGAGGAGTGATCCCAAGACCTAAGTCTGCCTTCTGACCTGCTCTGCGGGGAAGAGACACAGCTGCGGGATGGCCAGCTTGCTCCATGCCTTAGGCTGGAGTTACTGAGAGTCCATCCTTGGAGGGAGGGACGGGAAGAGCGAGGATTCGTTCTCTCCATTTTCGGGACTTAGCACCCAGGCATACCCCAGGGAGAGATTGCGAGATGGCGACCTACACTCAGCTGAATCAGATGAGCCCGAAGGGAGCAGAGATGTCCCTGTTCCTCAGGCATCCGTTCAGCACTAGTCTTGGCCATCAGATTTGTCCTTTTTTAAAAAACCAGAACGAGCTCATGAGGCGTTTGTAACTTTTACTTTCTCTCTAGACTTTTTTGTTGTGTCCCTGCAATGTGTCCTGGGACAAAGCCATAAGAAGATCATACATACTTAAGACTATGCTGTACACGTGAGACAAGACGACGACTCGTCTGGGTTAAAGCCCGACGCCCAAGCATCTGCTCTGGTGCTGAATAACGCGAACTTCCGGAATCAGCCCCACCCCTTCCCAACCCCCTCCTACCCCTGCACATGCCCCTCCCCGCTCCAGACCCACTCCTGCTCGCCAAGGGGACACGGCATTGCCAACGTGTTTATAAATAAAGGGATGCAGAATTGCACTTTTCCTACTGTGTTTCTGAAAAGCGTGGTGCTGTGCGTTCCTACTTATGAGCTCCTACGCAATACGGAAGAGTGCAGGTGTGGCCGCTATCCTGCCTCCGCCCAGCCGGGCCCCAGCCCTTCAGAATGATGGGTCTGCGTGCCGTGCAGCGCGGGGCCAAGCCTGGAGTTGCCAGCTGGCTCACGCCTGACGTGGAAACAACCTAAAGGTCCATCAGCAGAGTGGATGAAGATGTGGTACATATATACAAAGGAGTACTACTCGGCCATAAAAAATGTGAAACAATGCCATTTGCAGCAACATGGATGCAACTAGTGATTATCGTACGAAGTCAGTCAGAAAGACAAATACCATATGATATCACTGATAGGTGAAACCTAAACTATGACACAAATGAACCTATCTACTAAACAGACCCATGGACATAGAGAACAGACTTGTGGTTGCCAAGGGCGGGGGGTGAGGGAGGGATGGATTGGGAGTTTGGGGTTAGTAGATGGATTCAACAACAAGGTCCTACTGTATAGCATAGGGAACTATAGCCAATCTCCTGGGGTAAACCATAATGGAAAAAATACAAAAAAGAATGTATATATGTGTATAACCGAGTCACGTGGCTGTAGAGCAGAAATGAGCACAACATTGTAAATCAACTATACTTAAATTAAAAAAAAAAAAAAAAAGGCTGCTTAGGAGCACTCACCTGGAGGAGAGGTCACGTAGGGAGCCCGGCCAGGACCCTGAGTTGCACGCTCCACTACCAACTTGCTTTCTGACCTCGGCCAAACCACTTCACTTCTCAGACCTCAGCGTCTGCTTTTGTAAAACGAAGGGGTTGAAGGAAATTGTTTCTGAGGTCTCCTTTGACTGTAAAAGTCTCTGAATTTATGAGGCAGGCTGCGTTGTCCCTAAGCTTCTCCAGCTCTGATGCTGTCACTGAGCCACCATGAGGAAGCGCTTACCCTTCACTGGGAAGCTGGAGACGTGACCTGGGACCTCCACAACCGACAGCATCAGCGCCGCATTCATGCCCGCAGGCTCTCGGGCTCCACCCACCCTTCTTATCTAGCTGCCCGGCGGCATACTTTTCACCTGGACTTAAACATTGGGGCGTGGCCATTTCCATCAATTCTCCATCTGTGGGGAAAAGCTCCTTTGGTCAGCTGGAAGCAGATAGATGGGGGTGCAGGCTCTCAATCAGGATTCCAAATGTCAACGATTAAGGCAGATTGATGTTCTTGCCTTCCATGAGCATTGTGCTCAGGCCCTCCACTAGCCGAATTTAGGAGCTTCTATTAATTCCATCTGCAGGGGTTTAGCTCTTTGAAACGACAACAGTTCTAACATCAGCCTAGATTCTAGAAGAAATAGAACCAGGCCTGCGGGCAGCAAGGGAATTCATTTAAAAATTGAATTCCTATCGTTCATAGACCACAGGACTTGGCTTTTGCCATACAGATCAAACACATTCTCGACAGGCTGTATTTGGAGTCACAGTTACAGGTTTCTTCTTCACTTTCCATGACACCTCAGAAATGTTCTCAAGGGAAAATCAGTTCTAAAAGGCATAACAAAACTCATG